AATCACATTCCTGCCAGTGAAGCGCTCCAGATTCTGACACTAACATCCACCACTGACACTAGGCTGAAGCCACAGACCTCAGGATCCTGAGAAGCAGAAGGAACCAGGAAAATTATATGATGTCTGATAAGGCTTAAATTGCATTTTCATTGACGCAGTGATGATGCCAGCTGTGCTAATGGAGACAGCTATGTTGTGGTAGTACAGCACTTCTCTTGGAACATCATCCTACAGTTCAATCAACACTAAAGCTTTTTTAGACTTTCATTCACAGAAGGAGATTATTTGCAAGGTTGCACCACATCTGCAGATCAAGTTTCATATGGTCTTTCATAAAATAGAACCCAAGAGCTAACGTGGGGCTACCACTGCTGTAACGTGGATATTTTCTTTTCTAAATTCAGACTGCCCTTTGGCTCTCTTCAGGCTTTCCCCTACATTAAGTAGGGGAAAATAGCTGAATTTCTATAAAATAATATGTTGGAAAATTATGAGAAGTAATAAATCTTACATATATGATTGATTGGTCTAAGCAGCTCTAAACTGTTTCTTCAGTTCAGTAATATTTTGTGTTACAACAGCTTATGGTCAAAGTGCTGTAAGCAGTTTTCTATGTTACCAGCAATATATCTGAAGAAATATTTCAAAACCACAGTTACTTTCCAAGGAGCAATTTATTTTCCAAATTACAGATGAAGTCAGTATTCACTAAGTTCTAAAGATGTTTTGACTTCATTGTAACACACTGTTAAGGTAGATCTGTCAAACCAAAAAAAAAAAAAAAACCCACATGAAAGGTAAACATCCTAGAGGTATATATTCATAACAATTAAAGCAGGTGATGCTACTCATATACATGCCATGCCTGATATCCAAGTAGCACTGAACTGGTATATTGATGTTATTTGAACACACAAGAACGTGATCTGTTTCTGCCTGCTGAATTCAATACCGAACAATAAAATCCACACAAAATTCTGTTACCTCTTTGTTACAAAATTCCTATTTAACAGTTGAAAAACCATTCAAATGTTGAGGTGGTGATATTTGTGCTTTTGTTAGTGTAGGTTCCAGGAGGTCAGGTTTTGATATGCTTTTCAGTCAAGCCTGGAATTATGTTGGATATGCCTGAACTTTCAGTGCAATGAATGAGACAGGAAAACAGATAATCAAGAGTAGGAGAAACAACAAGGACAAAACCCAGTGCTGTGGAAGTTCATGACTTGACATTAGTATTATGAAAAGCAAGTGACAGGTAGTCAGGTAAAAGAGGAGGTATTGTCATCTGTTGAAAAGTACTTAAACAGGACTCCACATATGAAGACTTGAATTCTACTGTCAGGCTACAGCTTGGTTTTTTTTTTTATGAGAGAGAGACATAAATTTAAAACTTAACAGTCAAGCCATTAGGTGACACTATTAATATAAGCTTAAATATGAAGTATTTAAGAGAGTTAAAAAAAAAAACAACCCACAAAACCAAACCACAAAAAAACCCAAACAACCCACCAAACCCCCAAAAGAGAAAAAAAAAACCACTACCCTGGGTTAGAGTCAGAAAACCATCTTATATATTCAACAGTAACAACTCCTTGTTATGCATTTGCCAACTGCAAAACATTTTGCTTAATTTTGCATAAGGTCTTTTGGTCTTTTGTTTAAAATGGTAGACAATGGAATTATCACACAAAAGAAAATCAAAGACATCTCATATTCAGTGTTTTGGTATAATTTAGAATTATTCTTTAACATTCTGCTATGGATGGAAGCAAAAGTCATTATTATCCCGTTCATACAGGAAGTTAATTATAGAATAATATAAATTCATTTAAAATATATTTGTGGTTTAAATGAGTCATAACATTATTGCGTATATGGTAATGTAATATTTCTTTCCAGGGTCTACAGACAATAACTTGTCTAGAACTGATCATTTTCACTGACATTTCCACCCAATAAAGAGCTAAACACAGTTTCATCTGTACGAATGATACTCCTACCCTGTTCTGTATTAACTAAGCAATCATATTTAGAGTAACCAAAAATTGCATGCAGACATTTAGTTACTATATAAAACCAAATTCGATACAAGTGCATGAGGATAAGTTGCTGGATGGATAGAGAGACTATAGCTCATACAGTTTAGATCTGCTAGGCACTAACCTTACAACTGTGGGATCAAGGTTGTAAATTCTGCCAACAGCTACACTTCTTTTAGAAATTATTTATCAGTTGAAATTTTGCCCGGTATTGTGACAGTTCCATGCTAGCTGTGAGTGATGCTTTCATTCACAACTACAACAACTACACCACAAATGAGAAAGTCTGCATAAGCCTCTTCAGTGATAGAAAGCTCATTAATATGCCAGAGAAATTGTGACAATAAAATTGTGGAAGATGGTCATTGCAATGATTCATTTCCTACATGGTTGAATAAAGATTTACCCTCTAGCATAATATTGTGTTATACCCAAAGGAAGTTAGCCCAAGGACTGCCCCTGCATATTCTATTTTGGCATGAAACAGCACTCCATTCCCTGGAGAAAACTGAGACAATTATTTTGCACCTTGCATATGATTGTGATCTAGCACAATCTGAAAACCCTAAGATTGCTAAAAAAATCACTAAGCAGGAGAATTACTACGTTTTGCCATTTGCCACCAAAATGACAAACCAAAGAAATTTTTGGCCATGAAACTTTGAAAAATCTTGACCTACAAGCTTTGATTATAAAAACTAATTTCATGTTGCAAATCTTTTTGAATTTCAATCAGCCCTTTCTTGTATTTCTGGCAATCTGCAGTTTTTATTTAGCTCCTGCTACTACACAGACACCACATACAACCAGGGAGCTGCTAGCTTACTGTTCTGCCTAGTCCTCTTCACCTGTTTGGAGCTTTCAGCCTGGACAACAAACATCGATGTAGCAGGATAGTTTAGACTCTCTCGTAGTTTGTTTACAGTTTATCAGCCCCTTATCAGATTCCTAGCTGTATTTGGTTAGTGTGGCAAGGTTTTAGTAGTGGGGGGGCTACGGGGGTGGATTCTGTGAGAAGCTGCTAGAAGCTTCCCCTATGTCTGATAGAGCCAATGCCAGATGGCCCCAAGATGGACCCAGCGCTGGCCAAGGCTGAGCCAATCAGTGACAGTGGTAGCACCCCTGTGATATATTTAAGAAGGAGGAAAATAACTGCGCAACTGCAGCCGGAGAGAGGAGTGAGAATATGTGAAAGAAACAACTTTGCAGACACCAAGGTTAGTGAAGAAGGAGGGGGAGGAGGTGCTCCAGGTGTTGGCACAGAGATTCCGCTGCAGCCCATGGAGGTTAACGGTGGAGCAGATATCCACCTGCAGCTCATGGAGGACCCCATGCCCAAAGCAGGCTGTGATGCTGTGGGAAGCCTGTTGGAGCAGTCTGTTCCTGAAGGACTGCACCCCGTGGAAGGGACCCACGCTGGAGCAGTTTGTGAAGAACTGTAGCCCATGGGAAGGACCCACATTGGAGAAGTTCATGGAGGACTGTGTCCCATGGGAGGGACCCCACACTGGAGCAGGGAAAGACTATGAGGAGTCCTTCCCTTGAGGAGGAAGGAGCAGCAGAGACAACTTGTGATGAACTGACAGCAACCCCCATTCCCTGTCCCACTGTGCTGTTCAGGGGGAGGAGGTAGAGAAAATCAGGAGTAAAGTTAAGCCCAGGAAGAAAGGAGGGGTGGGGGGAAGGATATTTTTCATCATCCTACTCTGATTTGATTGGTAATAAATTAAACGGATTTCTCCAAATCAAGTCTGTTTTGCCCATGATGGTAATTGGTGAGTGATCTCTCCCTGTCCTTACCCATGAGCCTACTGAACTCCAAGGTGAAACCAAGCAGAACTTCATCACCAGGGTTTCACGGAGTACATTGTTAATAGGGACACAAAATCAATGTAATCCAACAGCTAGAAGTAAGGAAACACAGCAACACTCCAGCAAACAGCTCTTACAAGGCTTGAACAGTTTTCGGACCTCTAATCAGAAGTTTCTAGACTTTGAGGTAGTATAAAAATATTTTAATATGCAAATCAATATAAAACTGTACACTTTACCTGGTAGCCAAATGTGTTGTTTTGTAAGCCGTGCCTTGGGACTCCTGGATTTTCACATGCTGTGCGAGTCGGTTCTTAAAAAAAATTACAGTAAATTAAAGACAAAACAAATTACAATATTTTAATTAAATGCATGAATATATCACAAAATTAAGCTTGTTCAACAACATGCTATAAGCTAATAAAAGAAACAAAATGAAAGTGACTTGATTCTTAGAGAGTATAGAATAACACCAGGATAATTTAAAATAGCTGAAAACTCCTATATTGACTTAGCAGGAAAAGGAATAATAAGCATTTCAAGAAATTTCAATAATATGGGTGTAACTTTACCTATACATCGAGGAGAAGAACCACTCCACGTGCCATCTGCTTGGCAAATCCTGGTGTTGGAGCCAACCAAAATAAAAGGAGGATTGCAGCTGAAAGAGACTTCTGACTGATAGATGAAACTTTTGCCTTCTCTTTTCCCTTGAGCAGGTACTCCAGGGTCACCACAAAACTTTGCTGTGAGAAAAGACATGATAGAAATGGAATGTGTCATTTATTAAAATACATAAAAATAACACTTACCTGAACCCAGTCAAGCAGTTACTCTAAATTTTGTATTTATTTTATTAAACACAGGTCAAATACAGAATCATTGACCAGATAACCAATCTTTAGTCTGCTTCAGTTTGCAGTAGCTTTGCTAGCTGTTCAAAATGCCTACGTAGTGGGCTTGGTCAGTAACTTGAAATTGACACTCAAGGTTACAAAACTTGTTTTATTAAGGCTTAAATACCCACAGTTCACCTCTGCCCCCAACCACTTCAATCTGCAAATCCTCCTATATAGAGCAAGCAGAGTGTACCAAACTTTCATGTCAATCTCCTGTCCTTTCCTGCTTTCTGCCACCTACCCAGTGCTCAATATTTTTCTATGATTAAAGGATTTGTCAGACAGATTTTAGGAATCATAAATTCTTACTTCCTTGTCCTTCACTGAAAGATAAGATTTGGTATGTATGGAATTACAACACTTGAAAGTTAGTATATCTAAGAAAAAAAGCCCCAAAACATAGTAAAGAAATTTCTGCAGCAATCTAAAAGTCAGACACTAATAAGCTGTTACTAGATAGGATAAATGTCACTGATAAGAACATATTCTTAAACTGATCTTTTTACTTTATACCTCTCACCTAAAGATTCCTTATGTCTATAGCATAGCGCAACTAAGTAAATGTACTGCTGGCAAATTTGCTGGTCTTCTTCAGTGTAAATTACTGATTATTGTCAGAAGCTGGATTTTGAATAATTGATTCAGGAAATGCAATCAGCTATGGTAAGCCCTGTGCCACTAGACTATATTATTCCCTGCTGCACCATGAAGTCCAATATTGTAGAGTCTAATTTCATATCAACAGAAAATGCTGTAATACACACACACAAAAATAAAACATGAACCTGGATGTGTTCAATGACATATTTCTAAAAAGCCATGTTGTACAGAGAGTGGAATTTTCTGCTCCATCTTTCTCTTCTACAAACCAAATTTAAATTACATCTCTTAAGTCACCAAAATGTTTCTAATATCTCTATCTTTGTCACCTATGTCTTAAGCTTTCCAAAGGACCTGCTCACATGAAATGCTTGTGCTCTCTACCTCTTACTGCAGACACTGACTGTATGGGAAATTCATGCACACATATGTTGTTGAAGAAAAAGGGCTTAATCTATGACATACTAGAAAGGTATACAATTTAATGGCTTTAAGTGGAATGGGACTGTCTGCAGAATTATAGACCAAATTCTGAAAAGATATATGAATTGGGGATAGTGCCACACAGTGAACATCACTGTGTGATTGACAGGTCATGGTGGTAATTTATGTTTTCATTAGAAAATTCTGTGGAAGTCTTAATTTGAAAATACATGAATCAGATTTTTATCACAGAGGCTTGAAATTGTCTCCTGAACAGTTCTTTGTACCAACAAAGCAGCAACCACTCTCAAGGAAAAAATCCTCACATTAAAAAATGGTTTTTTTCTTAAGTTTAATATTTTTTAATAAAACCAAGTAAACTCCACCACTTGGTTGTCAGTGAACTTTACCCAATCATTGAATAGCTACTGAATATCTGCCTTCTATATTGGTAACCACGGAAACCAGGCACCATGGTACAACACAGCAGTTTTCCTCTGACATTGGAACAGGGAACTCCAGGACAAACTAAAGTTGCAGCAAACTGGAAGCTCTGTGAGTGCTCCCCCTCCCTGTGGAAATATTTTCCTAAGGACTCTGAGAGCTTTTAACAGAGATAGGGCCATGGAGCTCTCGCACTGAGGCTGTGAGGCTACTCTCATTCTTCAAAGACATTTAATTGATTAATAGCAAGTTATATCTGTAGTTAGGAATTTTCAGGAATACACCTGTATTTTTTTTGCCATCTGTTGCCAAGCTTATAAAAACAGCAGTCCTTTACTCAAATTACTTTATGAATAATTAAGCAGACAAATTTACTAGGTCATAGATGACAAACACTCAACCAAAGACATGACAATATTCCATTCTGAATAATTATTCCATGTTATAACTATACCTTGCATATCTTCAGCTACAGGTTCTATGGAACCAAGCTGGGAACTAAATTTCTAATGTCAAGAACTGCTTAAAGATTGCTCATTGAGAATGACTTTCACCAGCTCCCTCTCATTTCTGCCAGATGGCAGCTAGTTTAAACTCTTTGACAAGCACGGGCTGCCAATTGATTTCTCTTGCAAGCCAATGGGTAACCATTGCACATCAACAACATTCAGTTAATGTAATCTCTGCATGAAGCAACCTTTAATTCCCAGGCAGCTGCATTCTGTGCTAACTATACCTTTTAAAAAGTTTAAAGGTAGAACTCCTTTTTCAGAGCATATTGCAGTATTGAGTATTCCAGCCTCAAAGATGACAAATAGCTTGTGGTATCCAAAAATTAATGTAAGGACACAATATTTCAATCAAGAAAAAATGATGAATATAATTTTTCATGGTCTTTGATGTTCATAATATAATGGACTATAGAAGAGCTCCATCTAGAGAACTTAAACAACAAATGGTGTGGTTTCTTTTTCTTCCAGAAACAATGCCTTTCACCATGTTCCAACTCTGGCACAGTTTCAGCAGTGCTAAGCAACTGTTGTTGATGATATGAGAATATCATTAGAAAAAAAAGGAAAAGATTGTTTACATGATATGTTTTCATAGTAGTAGGATATAGCCAAAACAAAAAGCATTTTTGAAAGGGAGAGATGAAAAAATGCAAAAATTAGTAAAAGAATGGAGAACTGCATTTTGCAACATTTAGCAAGCTACCTGGCAATCTCAGCTACTCGGTAATCTCAAATTGAACTTCAGAAACTGTAAAGCCACGAAGATGAAATTATCCTCTTCCAGTTAGACTCCTTGCTCAAGACCATTACAGAGTTTCAGTGGTATAGCTATTCTACAAATAACTGCAAAATATCCTTCTTCAGTGCAATCAACTTAATATCTCATCACAATCACTTCTTTAAAAAGATTTTTTTAAATAATGAGTGGAATGACACCAACCTAAAGAAAAAGTCACATTTACTATTGTAATGAAATTTGTAGCAATATAAAAATCCATCAATGTTATAGCTTTCAGGTTAACAAAATTTACTGCATAAAACATATAACTTAATTTAATGTAGGGGGAAAAATAGCCAATTTTCAAGGAATCACCCTGGGGCCTAGTCAACATTACCATCAGAAAAAACTCTCTGTGACATCAGAGAAAGCTTAGGATGAGTAATGAGCAAATAAAAGAGATTATAATGAAACTTCCCCTTTTCTATATGTAGCTGGATCGGAAAACAAGACAGCACCTCTTAATCTTGTTTTGCCTTGGATCATTTGGTACACATTGCCTGTAATTTTTTTTGTGTCTTTGTATTTAAGGCTTTCCTATATGCTCACAAAGGATTTACAGATATTGCTGTCTTCTTCAATCTACAAATTATGCTAGAATTTTGGAAAATATAGAAGGATTGTATTTGTTCCAGGTTTGAAATGAACCAAGCCACTGCTGGGGGGAGAAAGGAAAAAAAAAGGTGCTTAAAGAGGAAAAAAGCACTATAGTTGAATACAGGACTATATAGTAAATACATACGCAAGCACTGAGGTACTTCACCACTCCATGTTCCATTTCCAACGCAAGTCAAAACAGCAGGAAAAGAAAGTTCATATCCTGGAGAGCAGATATAGCTAATGCTAAATCCCCAGTCCAAGTTTGTTCCTTCCAACCTTCCATTAGAGATCTGCGGAGGAGTTGGGCAGGTAACAGCTGCAATAATATTCAAAATAATTAGGCCCAGCTGCTGTAAATATCCCCAGTGTACACAATTACTAGAAGAACCATATGTGCTAATTTCACCTTTTTTAGAGGACAATACAGTCAGGACATGCTATCTTCCTCACTGTATTCTTGCCACATTTCCTGAAGTTAGTACTTCTGGTTTCCTCCATTTAGGAGACAGTGGCTGATTGATGAAGTATCTTAAATAAAACAGGACGCTGCATCAAACCAAATAGGAAGACTACCTAAAAATCATTATGGAGACTATGAAGTGTCTGGTGGTATTTAAGATATGTCTGGTGGTATGCTACAAATTTCTTTTTTTTGGTCTGTTTAGACAACATAGAGAACAATTATCTTTAGTTACTATGGTAATAGACAAATACTTTCTTCTTGTTAACGAGCTTAGGCATTTGCTAGATATTAATGCCCAGGGATGAAATTCCAGGACTATTGTTCCAAAATATGACTGGAAAGCCTGTTTCTAAGTACCAAAATTTGGTTAGTATTTGCTTCATGAATAGCTCCTCACCAAAAAGCATCTAGCTTCTAGCTGGAGGTAGAAAATTTAAGCATTTGCAACATTTTGAAATTGTCAGTGTTGGTACATGTAAGAAGGCCAACAAGAAGTATTTCACTAGAGTTTCTCATTTACAGCCTTCCCAGGAAAAAATACAAACATCTACTCAGTTGTAGGAAAGAGGACTGAAAGACACCACAGGAGGACAGTAGAAATAAGCAGACATAACTATAGTGACGAAGATAAAAGTGTTATTCACTGGATAACGGGGTGTTAACAGACAATTGCTAATTGAAAGTTGAAGGGAAAAGGGTATAGAAGAAGTTAAATGAAAAAAAATCTGAATCAAAAAGTGAAAGGGGGAAACTTAGGCCAAAGTTACTAGAATGAATGAGAAAGAGAAAATGGGTAAAAAGGAGAAAACTTGGGAGAAACTGTGCTAGCAAAAGAGAAAGAAAGCAAATTAAACTAGTATGATTCAATTTAGTGGAGACAGTAGGGGTAAATGAGAAGAAGTGGTGACAAAAAATAAAGCAGAGAGCACACAGGTCAAGAATGGAGGAAATGAAATGTTGCACTCAAACTTTAAACTTATGTTTAGACAGCTGTCATCTTGCAGGCTCAAAAGAAGTCAGAGGCACTAGATCAGGAGTACTGCATATTTGAATGTAATCTGCAGAAAGTTCACCATGTACCATTTCTCCATTCTTATTACACTTTTCAGTGAGAGAATCTCAACCATTTGCACCACAAAGATGCTCTGCATCTTCATTCATGGCTGTTTGAGAATGCTGGATGAAAGTAGTACTATTATCAAATAATCCTTTGCCAACCAGTAAACCAAATCTAAATTTTAAGGCCTTATCTTTTATACTTTCTGTTTCTCTTGCTCTGGTTCATAGTTCTTGAAAAAAAACCCCACCAAACAAGCAACCCAGAAAAGAACATGATAGCTTTTGCCACACTTCCATGATGCTTTATTAAAAGTAAGTCAAAATAAGTACTCCAAGCAGCAAAAGTCTGTCTGCATTCTCCAAGAGCTTCATGACTAGTCCTTTTAAAAAGGACTGTATGTCTTCTGAGCTGGATAATAAAGGAAGAAATACTGGTCAATAATTAGGAAAGGAGGCAGAAGTAGCAGCATGAAAATAGGTGTAATATCAGAATTTTGGGGTGAAAAAAACAAAGCAAAACAAAACAACACCCAGCAACAAGGCAGAATGCCTCTCTAAATATTTTGGTCAGAGATTTAACCATAAATATGTCCAGAAACATTTCTCAGTTTAAGAGCTGAAAGTATATTATAAATGCAAGTCTGCAGAAAAGACAATGCTTGAATAGTTGAATATTTAGCAGCAGATGAATATGCATCCTTTTCCAACTAGGCAAAACCAGAGAATTATTTATATCTTCTGTTTCAATGGCACGGCAACAATTACGCATCTGTTTTCTGTCCAGTTCATTTTCCAATTATTTTAACTAAATGGTACCATAGGACCCTGGCACTTCCTCCTGACAGTAAGAACTAATTGTTATACATTTCAAACATACTACTGCATATTATATATTACTTTTAATTGCACAGTCAAAGAAATGGGGGGTTTTAACTTAGCTATTGCACTCACACAAACCTGTGCGGAGTAGAATGAATTTCTGAGAACACTAGAGATTCTGCATGATTACTATTTAGTATTTATAAAAGCCATAAATATGTACGACCTGAAACCAGAAAGACTCAAAAACACAAAGCCAAAATTGACAGTCTAACTCCTTCTTTGTATGGTTCTGTCTGAATCAAATCAGAGTTAGATCTCCTGCTTCCAGTTAAGTGCCCTGTAGTCCTTAAAAATTTGAGGCTGGGAGACTATATCATAAATACTTGCTCTGTCTTATGATTTTTAGCTGTTTGCTTACAGCCACTCTTGGAGACAGAGAGACTCTTGGTCAATAAGACCATTATGGCCATTCTTCTGTTCTTAAAACTGGTTTTGTAACTAAACCTGAGGCTGAGTAAAAGCACAATACAAATAGAAAAACAAAGCAAATTGTTGGGTGGATCTCGAAGTCTGACATCTTCAAGAATGCCTTGGGAAAATAACTTTACAAATTGACATTATTAAAGGTAAATTAGAATTAAACTGGAATTTGCAAGATATTGGGAGAATTGTACTCAACAAAGAAAGTAATTGCAAATGGAGATTTGAAATTTATCTGATCTGTTTTGATAAATGAATTCAGGGGAGGAAGATGAGAACTGCTAGGCAGGTATATAACCGTATTTCCTGAAAACAAAACAGAAGGAAGGTGGATGAGAACAAACTAAGTACAAACTTAGCTGACTAAGTTTTAAAAGAATAGAGATCAGACATAGTGTGAACCCAGAAAGAAAACACCAAAATAGTAGTGCTGTTTCTCTACAGCTCTCATATCAGCAAGAGTGAGAAAAATTACTCTAGAGAGAAGATGGTTTAGGGTTTAGCAAGAAAGTGAGTTTCTTGGAGAAAATTGTTTTGATGACACAGATAAGGTGGTCTTTCAGTAACATTCAGAATTTTGCTGTTTAAATTTCAACAGAGAGCATTAAAAAAATCCAATAAAACAGAAAAATCAGGAATGCAATTAGTAAAAGAGAGTAAAGGAAGATCTTGAGATTAACCCTTTCAGTTTTCACGGTAGAGAAAATAACATGAAGTATAAAAATATTTCTTAGGAAATTTACTAGAACAATTTAGTCTTTTTGCTGAGTATGTTGATATAGCACAGTGATGCTCAAAGATGCACGTCTAATAAAGGAGGGATCAGAGAAAAATCTTAGTATTATGGATAGGGTAACCCAGAAACATTTGCCTTTGACAAAGTTCAGTTGTATATATGCAGACCTTTCCCCAGAGGTGTCTATCACATGCCTAAGTGGTCTTTTTCTAAAGACAGGGACATATATAGTCATTTTTGGTATGACATGCTAATCTTAACAAACAAACAAAGAAAAAATTTAAACATTATTTCATATTGGCTAATTCAGTTTAGCAGCAAAATGATAAAACATTCTATAAAGCTACAGAAAACTGTTCAACATACTGTGCTGGTATGAAAAATAAAAGGGGAAAGAAACAAAAGATGAAATCACTGTTCCTGCAGCCAAAAAAATCAATTCAGTATATTTATACTAACAGTAAGTTTTGATTTCTGTGGAAATATTTGGCTGACTCATTACAATAAACAGTGGATGTAAATGTCATAGAAGAAATAGTTGACAATCAAAATAAATGTTGTACCTTTGCATGCTGGAATTACTCCACTCCATGTGCCATTGCTAGTACAAGTGCGAATTAGGGAGCTATTTGATTCCATTGTATAACCAGGTTGGCACATATAAGTAACGTTTTGTCCAACAACATAATCATCACCGTATTTCATGCCATTGGCTGGGACTCCTGGATCTCCACAACTGATAACTGCAAGTAAACAGTTGAGGAACAGATTTTAAAACCTGAATGTGATTTATTTATATACAAGGGGAAAAACATAGGGCAAAGCTAGGAAGGGGGGGGGGAGGAGAAAGAAAAAGTATCATAAATCTTATCTCCATCAGGAGAAGATAAACATATATGTCATCTGAATTAGCTGCCAAACACAACACGTGGAGCTGTATAACAGTTATGTTTGGAGAACATTGATACATCTGTTCAACAGTAGAAGTAATGGACTGTACAATTTTGATCAGTAAAATTTCAAGATTATAAAATGAAAAAAAAAGCAAGAGATAATGCATATGTCACTACCACCTTTTCATACCCTCAAATTTTCCTATCAGTTCAGAGTTTCATTATTAAAGAAGCATCTATTGTTTAGTTTACTTTTCCATGGGTACGTCCTGAATGGAAACACAGTCTGGAAAATTTAAGATATGTATTGGCAAAAAGCTCCCACTTTGTAAATGCTCACATGGTTACTATGTACGTAAACAGATGAAAATGTTCAGGCAACCCCTAAACATGGGCCATGGCTTATGCCAAAATTAGGCCTATAGTATTTTAAAGAGTGGGAGTGGTTTTGAAACCTCTTATGACTTCTAGTCAGGAGACAATTTAATCTCCTAATGAGATTAAATATTCATAAGGAGTCAATAAAGAGTTATATCATTATAATCTGAGAATGATGTTAAAATAGGTAAGTTTCTCTCAGATATAGCCAATTAGATCTATGAATTTCTGCAACAGTTTTCAGAGTAAGAAATCTTGAGGAACCTAGTGGCAATGATAAGAAGCTACTGTTTTCAGGAAAAAAACAAACACTGGGAAAAAAAACTAATTTACACAAATACAATTCCCATGCATTTTACAGTTTACCTTACAGTAAACTTGACAATCCCCCTACAGCATTGTTATTACTTCTGGAAAATTGTAGGATGCAGTTTCCTGGGCAGAAAGCACATCCTGGCCATCCTAACTCAATGCCAAATCATGACAGATGTGAATGGCGCCCTTTCTATATCCTGGTTTCCAAAATGAGAATACCCATGACTACATGTTTGTACTGTATTCTGGCCAGGTCCCTTGATCTAAATAATTGGGAAACTGACTATCCAAGCTATATAGAATGCCTGCTGTACAGTTTATCACAGTCTGAGTGAGCAGATACTAATTAAGCTGCATGTGTTAAATTAAAAAAAAAAAAAAGTCCCACACAATTGCTGTCTATGGATACAGAAGAGACTATAAAACATACTACAGGGTTATCTGGGTTAGTCTAAAGGTAGCTAGTGCAGTGATAAAGAAAATTGGAGATCAGCCTATTTTATTTTACCTGATAACATAGTAATTTTAATTTTTATTTAAACTTAAAGTCATAGCTTTTTATTTGTCATTCTTCAAAAAATATAGAGCTGCAAAAGACAGAACTATTTCTTTTAGTTACACAAGTATATTCAAATACTCTACGTGTTCAACCTTTCTTTATTTGACATATTCCATTTACTACCCTTAGTGTTGCAAATTCAACTAAAATCATCCTTGATATTTTTCTAGGTATATTATTGTTTTGACTGGATTACAACATAATGATCATGCCTTTATCCTTTTTTCCCTAATCCTTGTTTTATCTCTTTAGATTTTTCTGTATGAAGAGTATTTCAAATCATTGCCTTACCAATTTAATAATGTGAAAACACCATGCACCATTTATGATCAAACCGTTCCATAAACTATCTATTTATTTTGTACTATTGAAAACTATTTTCATTGTTTATTTAAATCCAACTAAAACCATGTTCTCAGCTTTTTCATTCATCTTCCTTCCAATCTCCATTTCTTTCCTTTTGTCATTAATACAAATTTTTTGCTTCTTCCACTGCTACTCTTACCGTAATTATTGTACCCTTTCCTGACATTGACACTTTAAGATTGATCCGTTATACAGCAAGAGCCACCAAGGCTTTAGCAGATCTCTAGATTGTTCTACCTTCTCAAAATTCCTACCTTTCTATCATTAACTTTTCAAGCCATAGTTCAAAGAAAAAAAAAACAAAAACACAGACCTGATTTTATTTTATGTGGTTTTGGCCTTCTGTACTTACTAGCCTTTATCTTACTATAGAAAAAAAGTTGCTTGAAAGAAAAGACTGAGGGGGAAAAAAGAGTCATTCTTCATATTACTGTGTTGTAACATTGGAACTGTTCATAGAGCTGGGGTAGGAGTGTTAAGGAAAAGATCCTTTCTCTCTTTTGTCTTATACTACAGCATTTGACTTTCAAAGAAAGCAAAAGCAGATGTAAGGAGGTGACCTAGATTTTGCTGAGATACTGTGTTTTGTCATAAACGTAGGAATAAAGCTTTAACACATTGTTGGCTCACGTCCAGCTTTTCATCCACCAGTACCCCCAAGTCCTTCTTCGCAGGGCTGCTCTCAATCCCTTCATCCCCCAGCCTGTACTGATACCAGGGGTTGCCCCATCCCAGGTGCAGGACCTTGCACTTGGCCTTGTTGAACCTCATGACGTTCACAGAGGCCCACCTCTTCAGCTTGTCCAGGTCCCTTTGGATGACATCTCATCCTCCTGGTGTGTCAACCACACCACTCAGCTTGGTGTCATCTGCAGACTTGCTGAGGGTGCACTCAATCCCACTATGTCATTGATGAAGTTGGTAAACAGCACTGGTCCCGGTATGGACCTCTGAGGGATACCACTTCTAACCGGTCTCCATTTGGACATTGAGCAGTTGACCACTACCCTCTGGATGTGACCATCCAACCAATTCCTTATCCACTGAACAGTCCACCCATCAAATCCATATCTCCCCAATAAAGAGATATCAGGGGATGACCCTGACTGATAACACCTGAGTTTCATATGAGCAGTAGCACAACATGAAGAAATGGGACTTTGAACCTATCCTTCCCAGGACAGCAGAGAACTCCCCAAGTTAACCCTGAGGGGAGTGAGGAAGTGTGAGATAATCAGGCAGGTAAAAGCTCTAAACTGCATGGTTCTTAAATGGACACCAACCTCCAGATCCACTGTGCGTTTCTGTTTACCTTGTGTCACCCATGACAGCCACTCAGGATAGGTGCTTGCTTAAGCTATTCTGGAAACCCGCAATGGTTCCATGGGGTCCCATGAGTTGAACAGGCAATAAACAAATTTTGGGAAATCTTGTGATAGTAAAAAATGGAGAGCATGTGCCAAAAGGCCGGGATAGCATTAGTTTTCTTTATAGTAGCTCATACGGTGTTGTGGATTTGTGCTGAAAACAGTGTTGATAACATAGGGATGTTTCAGTTATTGCTGAACGGTGCTTGCGCAGCGTCAAGTCCTTCTCTGTTTCTCATGCTGTCCTGCCAGCAAGTAGGCTGCAGGTGCTCAAGAAGTTGGGAGAGGACACAGCTGGTATAGCGGACCCTAGCTGACCAAAGGGGTGTTCCACACTATATGATGTTTTGCTCAGCAATAAAAGCTGCAGAAGTGTGGGACATTCGGAGTTATGGTGTTTGTCTTCCCAAGAAACCACTATGTGTGATGGAGCCCCGCTTGCCTGGAGATGGCTGTACATCTGCCTGGTGATGGGAAGTAGTGAGTGAATCCCTTACTTGCTTTGCTTGCATATACAGCTTTTGCTTCACCTATTAGATTGTCTTTAACTCAGCCCACAAGTTTTTGCACTTTTACCCTTCCAATTCTCTCCCCCATCCCACTGGGGGGAGAGTGGGTGGGTGGGTGGGTGGGTAAAAAAAAAGTGAGTGAGTGAGTAAATGGCTGTGTGGTGCTTAGCTGCCTACTGGGGTTACACCACAGCAGCATGGCAGGGACAGTTAGGAAAAAAAAAACCCAAAAACCTGCCCTGTCAACAAAGTCTCTTGGCACTGACAGTTCTACACCCTTTGGTTACATGTTGAAAACATTATGAGAAAATTGTTCCCTTACAAGAGCTAATCTTCTTCAGGCATATTTTACAGACCTGGAGATAAAACTGGCAGGAGAAACAGAGGGGATTGTTAACTCATGATCTGTTAACTAGCTGTTTAGTTAATGTTGTCCATTAACTCTTGTTAATTATCTGTTAGAGATTTAAAATTGATAAATTGTCATAAGAGAGAACATAGCAAGTTATGTATGATGAAGTTTAATATATATTTTTATCTCATATTTAGATGTGCTAGGGAACTGTAGAATTAAAGGTCTGTTGAAAGAGACACAGATTGGACACATCTCTGAGCAACCTGCTCTAGCTGATCCTGCCACAAGCAGAGGGGTTGGACTAGACAATCTCCAGAGGTGACTGCTGACCTCAGCCATTCCGCAGTGCTGTAAAATCCCTCTCCTTTTCTGGGTATTTTAGAGCTGCTGCTAAAACCTGTATCAGCTTAGATACAAGTTGTAGCACCTAGTAGCACTTCTGCCCCCCTTTAGGAATTAATTAATAGTCAGCAATGATCAAAAAGGCAGAAATGAGTCAGGCTGAGATTCTCAGAGTTTGTACCTTTTTTGGTAAGATTTTCATTCAATCATTCTTTTCATATTCTGACCATTCCAGGGGATATACATCAAACTAAAAACCCCTAAATAACATTGTCACTGGAATGAACATATAAGGGTATGTACTTTTTAGATGTGTAATCATAGCAGAGAGAACTGTGTATTAGGAATTTCAATAGATTTACTGTATAACAAAGTCAAAATATATATAAATCAAATCAAGAATTCTTCTTTCTATTACATATAATCTTCACAATGCTTCTCTGTTTTATTAGGATATTTTCTCTGTTAAGACATTTTTCTAGGTTTTAAGTAAAAATTCCAAGTTTCTACCTGAGTAGTGTTTTTTGAGAAGACTGTTCTAGAATGTACTTCAGCTAAATGTCATTCTAAAATACAAGAGAAAAATTTTGATACAGTTACCATCACAAAACACCTTTATCCTTGGTACAATTAATTTGGTTCTCATTATAATTTGGAAAATAATAAATAAATAAAAACATTGGGCTCTTTCACAGGTTTGCTGACTGCAAGAGCAGCTGTTCACATACTTACCATTAAAGATGGATTTAAAAACAACACAAGAATGAGTAGTTTTCTTTATCATCTAACTTTTGACCTTTATTTGGGTTGCTATAAGTGTGTAAAGTAGCCAGCTCTACAAAAACTAGAATATGGCAATTTCATGGGTACCAGGAACAGATTTCAAATTTGTCACCTGATGCCAAGCCATTGCTGTGGTGTAACAACTTATTTAAAAAACATTAATGGTCAGTCCAAAATGAATTGTATACCATCCACAACACAAAAATAGTTCAAAATTTTAAGCAACAGCTTGCTATACCTCTGATGAAGATATGTTTCCTCAAAATGATAGGCAGTCTCATGCGTCACAAAAATGTAAAGTTTTCATAATTGTTACTAAAAGATGAACTAGGACATGTAATAAAGCAGGAATAGATGCGCTTGAAAATAAACAGTTGCAAAATGCTTATTACGAATGTGAGAGAAGCAGAAATACCTTCTGTTTGCTGAGTAACCAAAGCAAGTATAAGGTTAGTGAAGAGGCCAAACAGAAGATGTTATGTGAGAACAGGACAACAGTTTTGACCTCAGAGTCACTACAAAAAGAATTCTCAAACGTTCATTTTAAGATTTTTATCTTTTGCCCTCTGGAAGACCAGAATATCATACTGCTAAGTTATCATGATGAAGAATAGTAACTAAATGAATAATGTCTGAATATGACATATCACAAAACATAAACAAGATTAAAAATATATACTAGGAAAGAATTAAAGTAGGTTGAGCATGTAACCATATAACTCCTTTAAACTGTAACAGCAGTCTCTAAAAAACCTGTCTTTAAAAAAACATATTCTTCATCTTCTCATAGCACTATATTTTTTTAAAAGTATTTCATGTACAAAGTTATGTACGTAGTGCAAGAAAAAACTGAAGACTTGATTTATTTGCATCCAACTTCTATATTTTACTTTATTGTCTTTCAGAGGAGAGAAAAGCAAAGACTATTTATTAGACATGTTTCTTACTTGTGCAGTTTGGCAAAGATCCAGACCATGTTCCATTGGCAGTGCACTGTCTTACAGATGATCCAGAAAGTATGTAACCTTCCATGCATGAATAAATTACTGAATTAGAGAATGTAGTTCCATCAATACGAAATACTTTTCCATTAGCGGTTGTTCCTGGATTACCACACTGCACAGCTATAAAGCAAATTGTTAAATATTTTTAAAATGTAGTAAAGATAATTTTTTAAATAGTAATGTCTAAGGACAATCCTGCTGCGAGCAGTGTTATGTGGTAGAAATCCATGCTGTTGTCTGAAAAATGTAAGTTTTGTTACCTACTGATAAGGCATATTGTACAGTAAATAGCTATTTGCATGAATTATTTGTTTTAACCATTTTGTATTTAGGGAAACACAGCCTATGAAGGTAACTTTAAAATCTGCATTAAAGGAAAGCTAGTTTAGCTGCAAAGACAAACTCCCAATTATAAGAAAATGCCTGATCTACAATTATCATTGTAGATTTAATTTGAATCTATAGCACATATGCATTTATAGCATCACCAAAGTATATTCCCTATCTAATTCAAAGCACAGGATTCTATTTAGCATTTCCGATGCTAATTCAAAGCATAGGCAGGTGTAAGCCTAATGTTTCCCAGTTCTTCAATGCTCAACTTTGGAATTTGAATGTGTCTGTCTTATGTGATTACATATATGGATCTAATCCATGTGACCTAAACTAGCACAATATACCTGTGTGTGCATCACACACACCTCTCTATATATATCTGTGAATCAGATTCACCATTTCAAGAGATTTTTAGGGGGAAAAATAACACCAAAAGTATCTTAAAATGTAAAAGGGGTCATTAATTTATGTAATAGATTAAGATCAAAGAAGAATAGCAGAAAGCATATCCCTTCAGATACCACCATACAAACACACACATATACATATTTATATATATTTGAGTTGTGTCAGGATGGCAATCATTCAGCAGAAAGGATATTATAAAACCAGCTTGTGAAATAAGTTGTTTTTCTTTAAAATGAGATGACTATTTCATACTGAAAACGCAGTCAAAATCAACAGTGATAAAGTGGAAAATAAGAGTACAGGTTCTCAAATTATTTTCTGCTTTTCAGGAACCCATACTTTAAATTCTGTTGGGAGTTATTTCTTATTTGAATCAAGATAATTAAGGTAATAAATGATTCTCCATAAATATCCCATTAGAGCTTTCTTTTATGATAATACCTCTAACTTGAAATTTCTAGAATTATTTTTTCCAAATAAACCTGTTTCAGCATTTTGTTTTCTATTGAAAAATAATGTCAACAGTATTAGTAAATAAAATCTTTAAGCCAATCATTTATGATGTAGCTGTATCTAATGAAATCCTGACATTAGCATTTTCCTAAAACTCAGCTCTTTTCTCTGAAATTCAGTTGTGTAATGGCTGTAATTAAAGATCAGGTGATGGTGAGATTTTTACGGAAAAAATCTTTCAGCAAAAATTGAGTTCTAGAGGCCATATCTATTTTGTTTTCTGTTTAGTTTTTGTACTGGGTAACACATATAGTTGACACTGACAAAAGATTGAGAAGAAATAAATAGTTTAGTATACCTTTTTCCTCAAAACTTTGAAGTCATGCAGTTTCATGGGTGCCAGGAACTGATTTCAAATTTGTCACCTGGTGCCAAGCCATTGCTATGATGTAACAACTTATTTAAAAAATTTTAATGGTCAGTCCAAAATGAATGGTATACCATCCACAACACAAAACTGGCATTGTAAAATTTGTTTTCTGATTAGCAGTGTTAACAAGACAGTTTAAAAAGAGTCGATCTTCTGTGATTTACCTTTGCACTCAGGTTGCCTTCCTGTCCAACTTCCATTTGCCATACATGTCCTTTCTTCTGAGCCATGGAGGATATATCCAATATCACAGCTGAAATGTACTGTGCTTTTAATTTTAAAATTGTTTTCTTCTCTAGACCCATGACCTGGGATACCTGGATCACCACAAGAACCAGCTGTATCACCTAGAATTTAGAGTTCAAAGATAAGAATAAATATGAAATATTACTATGATACTGCATTTAAAATATATGTTTCCATGTGTTTATAAATACATTTCTATTTATATTTTTAGAAAAACCCCTGTATCTCAGTGGCTGTGAGTCCCTGTAATTACAAAACTATTTGATTCTCAAATAAATTCCTTTCACTTATTTTTTATAAGTGAAGAGTTTTTATAAGTGAAGAATTTTTATAAGAACAGAAATTATAATTATCTCAAGATTCCTCTGTGACCATACTAGACTTTTGGTAACAGAATCATCAAACAAGAATAGGGAAACAAAAAGAAAGCCACAAAACCATGGTCATTTTTCATTTAAAACAAGGGATTCTGAAGAAAAACAAGGGAGTGATCAGAAAGATAATTTTCTTGTTTGCCTATAACTTGTTCATAAAATACTTCCTAGTTTTATGATATTTTTAGAGTTGTAAGTTTTACCATTGAATGAAAGCTCTAGTCAACAATTTTACATACATCTGACATGAAGCATTTGCCTGATTTATAGAAATGTTGAAAGTTCACTTCAAGACTGCATGATAGCTAAAATCTCCCTCAGCCAGAAATGTTTAAGCAAATTATAAGATAGAGGGTTAATGTTTTCTACTATCTGTTGTATATCAAAGTTAAAATAATCAACATAGTAATAATAATAATAATAATATCTAAGATTATACATCTAAATCTTATTTTATGGTGAGAACTTTTAGGAAGCTGTAGGTAACTATTTTACAGCAGGTCAGTTGTTTAAATCTTTTAATATGTACTTAGGATCTGCTGTTTTATCCTTTTAAAGATCTTTAAGCTATTTTTCTATGTAATAAGAGATGAAGGTACATTGTATTAATGACTTCCAATACAAAAGAGTTGAATTCTAGAATTCTTGGAGCTGCACTGTTCAAGTTTTCAGCCATAGATATTCAGCTTACGGATTTCTGTGACAACTTGCAAATAAATGGATCAGTCTTCTATACAAAACATAATTCAAACATCATAATATTTTTGAGAGCATATCTGCATTATTTTGTACTTAGTTACACTAATGTAAAAAAAGAAGAAATATTTTAAGAATCATCTAGAAAGCTTTAATTATATTAAAAGATTTGTAGAAATTACGCAAAGAATGCTTTCTGTAGAATAACCATACTTCTCTAGTATTTATCTAAGCTTAAATAACAGTAATAAGAGAAGTTCTTACATAGAAGTAGTAAACAAAGTTGTCTGCTCCAAGACCAAAAGTCACAAACTCACTACCTAGGGGTTCTATGCGAAGTTAGGACCCTGGAGTTGTAGATGCAGAGAAAAACAGAGCTTCCCTTGCCTTGGTTGGCACTGTATGTGTGTAAACTATACTGTTGGAGTGACTGGTTGGACACATCTCTTTACTCACAAAAGCATGTACAGAACTGAATAGCGAAAGGAAGAAGAGTTTGCTTTGAGAATTATGGTGTACGAGCAAATACTTGGTTTAGTCCAATATGTCCAAGAAGCTGACCATACTTTTGTCACTTATGAAGGTAGTTCATGTGCCAACCTGCAGTTTTGTAGGCCATGCTTACTACTTTTAATTTTCTTTCATATAGGCCATGCTTCTTTTTTTCCCCACAAATTAATTGAAAAACAATGTAACTAAGCACCTTACAGGAGCCAATCTGCAAAACTCCTATAGGCTTGTGGGAGAAGAGAATGCAGCTATGGAACCTCAGTCTGAAGGCACATCTGGAGGGTCACAGAAAAGAGCAAAACTTTGCTTGGAAATGCAGAAGAGAACAAACCTGGCAGCTCATTCTACCTATCCAACCCCTTGCTGAAGCAGCTGACGAAGTAGGCTAATCGTGAACCACTCTCACTAATTTAGGAGCCAATTTTATCATTACTTAAGTTAACCAAGCTTAAACTGACACCTTTCATTTCAGAATAATCAAACAAACCAATGTAGTCATGCTTATTACATTGTGAAATTTTATAGCATGTATGTGCAAAAAGTACCCGGTCCTATGTATTTTAATGCTTTCAGAAATTACAAATTAACTCAAGTAGGTGTAAGAGCTAGCTGACTGTCTTGTTCAAAATCACAGACTCAAAAGTTTAGCATCTTCTCTGTTTACCCATTTCGTTATGTGACAGAGATCAGTAAAGCAGCCTGCCAGCCCTGTTTAAAAATATATTGTAAATAGTTCTAAATTATAGTAAGTAAAAGAATTGTATAAGCTTTCAAAATATTTCATGTCCAAGCTGTTTAGGTGACTTAACATGCCTCTAGTTTGAAAATAGTCTGCTACATATTTTTAGAACAATTTAAAAATGTCTTAGATCATGATTTGGTTTTTTTTGTTATTTTGGGAATCTATATCTTACATTTTCCAGTATTATGTACTTAGACTATGAAGAATTTGGGACAAGCCCTATTCGTTATTCTATACTTGTAAAGTCTCTACAGTAACAGCTCAGCTTTTGGCAAGTTCCTTGGCATTATGCCTAAAATAATTTTATGATGAAAAAATGAAAATAGGCTTTTTGCTATGACAAGTATAAATTACATATTTCTCTTGTAAATGAAATCATGTGTTCTTTCTTAATGCCTAATTATTACCATGAATTATTACTCTTTTAATCTTAGGGAGGTTAACCACCATCTTTTTTGATTGATGGTTACAGAAATAATTTTTCTAAATGACTAATCACAGGAAGTGACAGTGATATAATCAATGATATCATAAGAGAACATATTTTTATTACCTCATTCAGAGATTCAACTAAGTGATTTTCAATTATTTATGAGCCATCCTTCACCTTCCTGAAAAGGAGGGTATTTAGACCACTTAAGTAAGTGCACAACCATTGCTGCACTTATGAGGAATTCTAAGTTGCTGCAAAATTCTGACTCCAAGTGATATGCATGTGATGACTGAAACCTGTGTTTCTGAATGCCAATCAATATCAATGGGACATGACAACTCATTCTAGCTCTAGGATTTGAAACATAGAGTGCCATGTGACAAAAAGGAAACTGTCTTAGGGATGATGTAACAAAATTTGGTTGCCTTATGTTTGCCGACCTAGCAGCTTCTGTTTGAATTCTTCTCCATATATGAAAAGGACAAGCATGTTGTATCATTTTGTCAGTCAAGCATTCTCTATTATTTATTATTAATATAATCCACAAAAGAATACAAAGTTTAAGGCTTTAATATGCATTAAGAATGAAGAAATCAAGTTATCAAGGCTAATAATGAAAGCTAATGATTTCACTTATTTTTAGATACAAAATATGGAAATTCTGTACGGTAAATTGCAAATTATTTTAAAATGAGAAAACATTTCAGATATACACTTTGAAAACAAAGTCTCAAAGTCATCCTAAGCTAGATTATAGTTTGGTACAGTACAGCTGGAAAAAATAAGTTTATATTCTGTCACAACTTGATTCATTATGATTAACATTTGAATCTATGTCAAGTAAATGTTTCTTCATGTATTGAGAAAAATTCATTAGATCTGGTTACAGTTTCCTATCTGTGGGTACAAAAATTGTCATTAGAAAAATAAAGATTTGCATCTACCTAATTTACGAATACTTATACCAAGATATTTGAACACTTTTTTAAATTAATAGCAGTATGATTATAGAATAGTCTTATTTTCAGTAAGGTTTCTTTGATATTTTCAATTAAATTTCTAGGCTTCCTATTTGTATTCCTTGATATTTTTATCTATTTCTTTAATTTTTTTTTCATTCACAAATTAGATTTTTTTCTTCCTTATGAAGACTATGGAAAACTATAGAAAGCTACAATAAGTAGCCTTAAATTTTATCTAAAGAGGATTTTTTCCCCCCAAAAAAAGTATGCATACTAGCTTTAACAAAAATTTTTGTTAACCTAGTTTGAATTTGCAAATCACATAAATATATCCTTATTTATTGAGTAATATTATTTTATATTAAGCTTTGATTTCTGGTGCATAACTCTACATATCACAGGTTACAAGAGCTTGATGTTTGTTCCTATTGTGGCAAATTTCCTTCTGATTTTATTGATACAAATTTAAGGGATTAAATTAGGTGTTCACATTTTCTAGTTTCTGTCACATTGTAGGTTGTAATGGCAGATTATTAAAAGAGGGACTCATAGAGCAAGATAATAACATTTAGGTTGTCATTGTCAGCAACCACTTCCTAAAAGTTTGCAGTGGAAAATTCAGATACTGAAAAATTCTTCCAACACTGTTGAATTTAGTGCAAGATTTTAAACAAGAAGCACTATTTTAATATTTGCTATTAATTTTTAACCATTTTGGTGCCATGGGCTGTACAAAAATGCATATTTTAAAACTGTAGCTGACAATCAGTTTATATCTGAATACACTAAAGAGATGAAGGCAGGAGGAAAAAAAAAAGTGTTGGAATATGTGACACCCCACCTGGAGTACTCTATCCAGTTCTGAGGTCCCCAGTACAAGAAGGACATGGACCTGTTAGAGCAGGTCCAGAGGAAGGCCACAAAAATTATCAGAGGGCTGGAACACCTCTCCTATGAAAAAAGGTGAAGACAGTTGGGGCTGTTCAGCCTGGAGAAGAGAAGGCTCCGGGAAGACCTTATTGCATCCTTTCAATATATAAAGTATACAAGAAAGATGGAGAGAGACTGGTTATCAAGGCCTGTAGTGACAGGACAAGGGGCAATAGTTTTAAACTGAAAGAGGGTAGGTTTAGACTGGACATAAGGAAGACATTTTTTACAATGAGCATGGTGAGACACTGGAACAGGTTGCCCAGAGAGGTTGTGGATGTCCCGTCCCTGGAGTGTTCAAGGTCAGGCTGAACAGGGCTTTGAGCAACCTGGTCTAGGTGAAGATGTCCCTGCTCACTGCAATGGGGTTGGACTAGATGAGCTTTAGAGGTCCCTTCCAATCCAAATTGTTTTATGATTCTATAATTCTATGACTCTATGATTCTGTGATTCTAGTAGAAGATGTCCCTGCCCATGGCTGGGTCATTGGACTAGATGGTTTTTAAGCATCCAAATCATTCTATGATTCTATGATTCACTAAGGCTGTAAAGAACCTTGGATTTTTACTGTGAAACTGGTATAGCAGTACTGTCAGATTTGCATATCAGTTATCATAGGTCCTGAATGAAGTCCAAAGCCTCACCGATTTCTTTAAAATATATAATGGAAACATGAGGATGACAAGAAGGAACCTCCCCCCAACATTTATTGAGAATTAAAACTGATAACATGACTAACCTCTATCACAATCTGTGATTTACATACTGTACATGATTTACATGTGTTTACATACTCTAAGATAAGAAATAGGATTTAGCGAAATCCCAAATTACTGTGTGACTTGGATTTCTGTTTTTCACTTGATCACTGCTATTAAAGTGAATAAAACTGAAGTTGTGAAACAGAACATTCCTAAGCATTAAGTTGTTCAGAAAATATATCTCAGCTTTGGTGAGAGCTAATCTATTACAATGATTATATGGTGTTCTCTCAAAAACCAAGCATCCTATATTGAAATTATATGGAGCCCACTTGGCCTTATTATAAAGATGGATGTATTATGCAATTAAGATATACCTGAGGTGTCATCAAGTCAGTAGATATTTAGCAAGTTAAAAAAAAAAAAACAACAAAAAACCATCATCTTGAAGAGATAATGATGTAAGGTTTCCCTGTGGAAATTAATACACTTTCCAGAAGCCACACAGAAAATATTTTCAAAACAAACCTGTTCCTTTAACATTTTATTGAATGTGCAATTTCCTATTTGTATTAAATGTCACTGAGAAAGCCTACTTCTCCCAAATTATTTTCTTGCTAATAGTTTTTACTTATTTTACTTTTACTTTTTTTACTTCTACGGAGATAGTACTTCAGTTTTATACATGATTTTCCAGATTTTAAAATGGCTTTCTGTTAAAATCAAAATAAATTAAAAACAACTTCAGGGCACACTCATTAATTCAAAAACATTACCTGAGCAATGAGGAAGAGATCCACTCCAGTGTCCATTTAACTGACATGTACGAGATGACTGCCCTAACAGCGATCGTCTGCCTGTGCAGGTATAATGAACAGTAGACCCAAACGTATATTTATCTCCAGAGAGGACCGCGTTCGGAGGAACGCCAGGATGGCCACAGTCAATCACTACAATGCATAATTATTGGAGATAAAAAAAGGTTATTATCACTGATCAAACAGTTTGTAGTTATATTTTTCATAACTTCATACATAAACTTTGTGAAGAGGCTGACTTTTTTAGAGTTCGGAGAAGAGGGATACATTGCGTGATTAGAAATGCAAAATACATTACAGACCAAAAGCTGTGAAACAAATGTTTGGAGATGTCAAAAAGGTATTTTAGATATAGATATAGATGATATAGATATAGATATAGATATA